AAAAAAAAAAAAAAAAAAAAAGGGAATTGGAATTTGGAACACCTACAGATAGTACGACAGTTCGGAAAGGAGGCAGACTTAGGGTCCCGCCACACGGCACATGAAACGAACACGAAACGAGCGCATCTGCCCACGAAACGTGGCAAAATACACTTGTTATTATTTATAGCAAACGGACGAACCTGGCCATTTTCTGCAGGAAGATGCACTCGTTTCGTTTTTCATTTCGTGCCCCGTGCGGCGACACCCTTAGAGCTCACCATAAATACCGCAAAGCTGCAAAGTTGCAAACTTGTAAAGGGCTTTTTTTTTTTTAATATAAATTAAGTACAAAGTTCTACAAACTTGCTACAAAGGGCATGCATTCATTTCCTTCCTTCCTTCCTTCCTTCCTTCCTTTCTTCATGCATTCATTCATTCATTCATTCAATTCATTCAATTCATTCATTCATTCATTCATTCATTCAATTCATTCATTCATTCATTCATTCATTCAATTCATTCATTCATTCAATTCATTCATTCAATTCATTCATTCAATTCATTCAATTCACTTTTGGCTAATTAAGATCAATTGGAGTATCTGTCGATTCCGATCTTATTAGTTTGATTTTAATGTCTGATTAAAAAAAAAAAAAAGGGCATTCATTGCTAGCGTCTCTCACCTGTGGTGGGTTGATGATGGCACTGAAGTTGTCGACAGCGAACATTCCCAAGTTGGAAATTCTGCATATACATATATACACATGAAGCGCACAATACAGTTAGAGTTGGTCACAAGAGGACTTCGTTATTTTAACGCAATTGCCATCAGGTACATCCAGGTCAGGTTGGAAATGCAGTCAGATACATTTAAGATAGCGCAAAAAACAACACCCTAAATGAGTTGCATATATGGCCACTTTCAGCATATTGAGAAAACGGATTGATAGTAATTTGGTACCTCCTATCTTTGTTTTCCAGCGGTGTATCCTTCAAACTTTTGAGTTTGGTGCAGTATCTCAAACAGCTAGAGAGAGAGAGAGAGAGAGAGAGAGAGAGAGAGAGAGAGAGAGAGAGAGAGAGAGAGAGA